ATGTGTGATAATTCGAACTCTTCTTTTCTGAAGGTGAATGAGAGATGTTATGTGTGTGCCGTAGGTATTAGCTCAGGATGAAATGCAGTAGGCTAGGTGATTGTTAATGAAAGCATAGTAAGGTGATTTCAAGATGTGTTGCTTAAAACAATGCCTTGTGCGAATGAGTTGCGGTTGCGAAAAGCAGTTTTCTTGATGACAGAATTCACGTGAATGTTATATTTGAGTTGAGGGTCTAATGTGACACCTAGAAAAGTAGTGAACTTTGATGGGGTGATGACGCGATTATCAATGTATATTTCGGGTGAAATCGTAACGCTTTTTTGAGACGAGTGAAATAACACAAAAGTTGTTTTAACAGGGTTGATATTCAATAGGTTATTTTTGCACCATGAAACAAGTTTCGCGACACCAGTGTTTAATTTTGCAAGTAGATTGTTAAGATCATTGTTACTAGAAAATATTGTGGTATCGTCAGCATAAAGGATGCAGTCGGATGAGTTAAGTGATGATGGTAAGTCGTTAATGTATATAAGAAACATGAGAGGTCCCAGAATTGAGCCTTGTTGGACTCCCTGGTTAGTTTTTTTTTGGTGAGGATGAAACACCGCCATGATTGACAGCTTGGGTTATGTTAGCGAGGTAGCTTTGTAAAAGGGCTAAAGTAGGCCGACAGATTCCCAAGGAATTAAGTTTACCATACAAAATAGAGTGGTTCATAGTGTCGAAGGCTTTAGTTAAACCTATAAATACCGCCCCTGCCCAGAGCCACTTATCGATGGACTGTTTTATGCTATCTGTTAGTTTAATCAGTGCTAATTCGGTAGAAAACTTGGCACAAAAACCAAACTACTTATGTGACAAAAGGTTAAATGTTGTTAGGTAGTCCATTAGGCGATTCACAATGAGCTTCTCAATTACATTACTAAAGAATGGGAAAATTGTTATAGAGCAATAATTAGAAAAAAACTTTTCGGTCTCCCTTTTTGAGTACAGGTATTACTTTTCTTTGTTTGAGGATTGTAGGAAAAATGCCTGAACGAAATGCGGTGTTAATAAGCTCTGAGAGCACAGAAGATAACTCACGAGGAACAAGTTTAATTTTAGCTAGATAAACTGAATCGAGGTCATATCCTGTCGTTTTCAAACTTGTTATAGTGCAAAGAACCTCAGCAGATGACGTGGATTTTAAGAAAAAAGAGTGAGGCAAGCGAGACAACGAAGGCAAGTTAGTGACAGTCGATACTGAGTTGCTGAAAAATGATTCGGTAAAAGAATTGGCGATAGTGACAGGGCAAGTTAGAACGCTGGTGCCATCCGAAAATTCGGCCTCAAGTGCATGTGGCCGATCAAGATGTAAGAATTCCTTAATTACGTTCCAATTTTTCCTACTGTCATTCCCATTTTCGAGCCCTTTATTTTGATAGTAGGTTCGTTTGGCTTTTTTGAGTAGGACAGTGAGAGTTTGTGAATAGAGTTTAATTCGGGTCCTGAGGGACAGGTTGAACGGCTGAAGTTTTACTTTTTAAAAAGGTCATCTTTTTTATTTATGCTACGCAGCAGTCCTCTAGTTATCCACGGGTTTCTAGGGGCTGAGTACCAACGCGATATGGTGGATACAGATGTACACGAGTTCATGATACCTGTTAGTTTCTCAGTCAAGGTACTAAACGCTTTATTAACACAAGGTTCTTGCGGTAGTTTTCCCCAGTCAAAGCGGGATACCAAATGAAGTAATTTTGCAGAAACGAAACGACACCCGTTGACCATTTTATTCTTAGAATTAGTTTGTGTTTTTAATAACAGAAAAATTGGATAATGATCTGTTAGATCAAAATTGACCACACCGGCATCCTGAACTGCCATAACGTTACAGTGTATATGGTCAATAAGCGTGTTCCGACCTGAAGGAGCAAATAGTGTCGGAGAATCCAGCAGAGATGCCAACCCAAGACCCATGAAGCAGTTAGAGTATTGAGCACAAGAACCATCGTTAATATTTGTAATGTCAATGTTATTGTCGCCTAAAATGATCACGTTATAATTTTCGGAAATAAATTCGCTTAGTATAGTATCAAGCTCAACACAAAAGTCACCGTAAGATGATAATAGGGACCGATAAATTAAACCAGCAATAGTTTTGTTAGACGGAAGGAAATCACGGTAAATTCGAGCCAGACTGATTCACATTTCGACACAGAAAACGTGATATCAGTACGTTGTTTATGTTACAATGCGTTAGAATTGAATATGGCTGATCCACCATGATAGTCACCGAGGCGATGTAAAAATTCAGCATGATATCCCGGAATGGAGAGCATGATCTCAAGTATCTAAATTAGCATGTATAATTTATTCTAACTATTCTATAATTCAGTAGTCATACATTTCATGATCACTTTTCCTTATAAATTGTTTCTTGGCGAATCTACCAGAATGGTGGTTTCGAATCCCGGCTGCGGCGGCTGCATTTCCGATGGAGGCGGAAATGTTGTAGGCCCGTGTACTCAGACTTGGGTGCACGTTAAAGAACCCCAGGTGGTCGAAATTTCCGGAGCCCTCCACTACGGCGTCTCTCATAATCATATGGTGGTTTTGGGACGTTAAACCCCACAGATCAATAAATCTACCAGAATGGGTGTGCGAGCCACACTTCTACGCCGCCGCCGCCGTCATCATCATCATCGTCGTCGTCGTCGTCGTCATCGTCGTCGTCGTCGTCGTCGTCATCGTCTAATCACCGTCGGCGTTACGACTCCCGTGCTGCACCACGACGAACTCGAATCAACCTTTTTCACTATGCCAGGCTTTGGTTAACTTAGTGCACACTTCCAGTATCTCTTAACTACTCGCCATTGTTACACTAGCCACAGAAAAAAAAATAATTCAGATGTTTCACTCAAGACTTAAAATTACTCTGAATACGGACAACATTCTATCCTTCGAGGTGTTCTCCGAGCCACGGCCGTAGGAAAGTGTGCTGCGACATACGAATTTCTTTTTGACAAAGTGACTCGCTAGAAATTTATTTCGCAATTATTCTCACTAGTTTATCGCACTTGATATTATGGCACTGTACTCTCGCCTTTAGTTCTATATAAATTTAAACACACTCGAACATTTCTCTGCCCTAGACGACTGGTCGACTCATCGTCCCTCACCTTTATTCGAAAATATTCCGCTCATGCAGGTTACCGGTTTCATTGTCGTTCGTGCGTAGTGGTCAAGAGCCAACAGTCAAGAGTAGAGCGAGAAAGTAGGCGAATAGTACACTTGGCACGCCCCTAGCTCATTGCAACGTAATAAAAGGATGGCGGTTATCACAGTTTACGAACGCACACTAATACATGCGATTTCAGTGCACCATTCATTTCACACGGCTCTTGACTGAAAGATGAAAAACTTCAGCTTGAAGTCTAACGGGAAATACTACCACAAAGTTAGTCTTCATATCACCATTAAGTTCAACCAGGCTTCAGCAACACAGCATCATAAAGTTTACCTGCAGGTCAGCAGCAGGTGGAAGTAGATGTTTGCTTAGAGATTAAAACAAAATTGCTAAGCATACCTTGAAACTTTTCTCGTTTCATTCATTTTTCATCACACATAGTGGGATTTTCGATAAAGCCGCGAATGGGTTCGAGATGATTTCTATTATTGTTTGAGTGATGTCTATATTCAATCATGTAGTAACATTTACCCTTTTTCTGTTTGCGATCGAGGCATTCTTTCGAAATATTGCCGATTTTTTTTAAACCAACGCACTATATCAGATTCGTGGCGGCCCCTTCTCAAGAGATATAAATATACCTATTTTATAAGAATATGCTTTAGTCCTCTCTTTTGTAGAGTTCGCTCACCGGATGTCCTATTCGTTAATACCCTGCATTACATTTTTTTCACACACAGACTAGCGTCAAATGTTTCTCGGATGATCATGATTCACAGCACACATCAACTTAGGGAAATCAGCTAAGAATCGGTTGCACAAGCAAGCGATGTTTATCCTCGGTAGCTTTTTGAAGCTTTGATTCGTCTCTGTTCACACTCTATGAAAGGAGTGCCTCGACACACCAGAGTGCAAACCCACCACGCTGATTATTTCAACGACAGTTTTCGAGTACAGCACTCAGCTCATTCCTATTCCTGCACCCTATTTCATATCTCTCTACCCCTGTGAGCTATATATAGCGTTTGGCTGCAGCTCAGCTATGCAACTGGTCATCTGGACATATGGTTGGGCAACTGTGGGTTCTGTGGCTTAAACACGTATTTGCGAGAAAACGTAAGGCGCGATATCGTTGCATGCATGTCGGTTGACTTTATTGCGCACTATTCATAATTGCCAATAATAGAGCATATGATCATATCTTGCTCTTGCATTAGTGTAATGCACTGCGCTAACAGTCCCTCTGTCTTTGTAGTCGTGTGGCTTTGAGACATCTCCAAGGCTGAATCTGAGCCAGCAGGTTCTTGGCTGGGTCTTTGAAGGCAAATCAATACGATTGATTCCTTAATTGTGCGTGGCTGTCAACTAGCTCAACGGCGTTAACGTGTTCGTAAGTTCTAAAAACTATTCCATAAACACGTGGTCTGCCAGCTTATCGACTGCAACCGAGGATGCGCGATGACGAACACAACTCGCATACAAGTCCATTGGCTCAAAACCACCCTAATCTACGATTAACCTAATCGAGTGGTTCGCTTGCAGCGAGACACTTGCTTCTCTTCCGCGTCATGCAGTTGGCGTTAAGCAATTCACAAAATAATATACCGTCACTCGCGATACCAGCAAGGTCGCGAGTATCTTACAGCTGTAAATTTCAATCGAGGTTGCCTCTAGAGTTGAACAAAAGCACAATGCAGATGCCATGGCGTGTTGTCAAAGTTAGTAAGTAATGTCTTAAGGCTATTAGTTTAAATGAAGGCGGCGTATACAGTTCAGCAAACACAAAACATAGTATCGGGACCCTGTAGCATCGCATATAAAACTAGCCGGCTTATTGTAGTTGCCTCAAGGAGGAACCCCGCCCCTGCTTCTTCACGCCATCCACAGACGTCGTTCTAGAACGCCGACGCTTGCCGCCGCCTCGGGCCACTCGCAGCGGAGAGCCGAGTAGCCATTTCTCCTCCATGGCCAGCATGCCCTGCATTGTGTTGGAAGGTGGCAGCTGCCTCGTCTCCGGCAGCGCGAACGCCATCGCGCTGAGCACCAGCAACATGGCGGCCGAGACGGCGTATACAGCGCTCCTTAGCGGCGGAGACGGGATCAAGTTGATGCACGGCGCCACGAAGGCGCCTAGCCGGCCGCTCATGTAGCAGCAACCCAACGCAGTGCCGCGCAGCACGGTCGGATACAGCTCGGCGGAGAAGGCGAACAGCGTGACGGCGGACAAGTCGAAGGCGAGAAGCCCCGAGATGACGAGAGCGGCGGAGAGCTTCACCGAGGCGCCGAACAGCTCCACCATGGACAAGGCGGTGGCCACGACGGAGAGCGCCAGCATGCTCAAGCCGAGGGACAGGCGTCGACCGGCGCGCGTGATGGCGTAGACGTCCGCCACGACGCAAGGCAGTCGGAGCAAGACGAGTGCGATGCGGGCCAGTTCACTGTTGCGCAACACGTCGGTCGTGGTGAAGTGCGCGAACGCGCCGAACACCAGGAACCAGCAGCCGAATATGACGGCAGACCGCCGACGCAGGTTGTGTTTGGACAGCAGGTCTGAGACGCGGACTTCTGCGAGTATTCATTAGACTGTTATGCACATACGCGGCATAATGTGCGCTAAGGCGGGTTTAAAGGGAACGACAATCACATCATCGCAGCTGCAACCACTTCACAGAAAAATCAACCAGTCCAGTCATCTTGTTCTTACTTTTTCAAATATTGTAACAATTCAAACTCAATCTGATGAAACACGATTTTTCAAATTTCGCGAGATAACGAAGGCTAGTGATTCTCCGTCAAGTATTGATAGAGATCCTTGTTGCCATCAGCTCGAATAAACTAAGCTTTCGTCCCGCAGGGGCGCCTGCGCAAGTAGGCGTTTGGTGTGTAGCGACACCACGGACCCGAGCTAACGGGGGAGTTTTGACTCCCTCCCACGCCTAGCCGTGCGTGGCTTTGCCGTGTCCGGGGAAAAGGGGATCCTGGGGGTTGAGCCGACGCTGGGTGATTGGACCTTTAAGGCCCCCCGGCAGAGGCAACACACCCCTTTGGCCCTGGCTTCACGCAGACGGCACCCCCGGATTGACCCGCCTGGGGGGAATCGGCAGTCGCCTTTTCCTGTCTCCCCCTCAGATCTTCGTCTTTTCTTTTACTTTAAATCTCTCCTGTCCTCTACTCTCTTCCGTTGACTCCCGTGTTTCCTGGCGGCAAGGGTTAACCCTGTGTGGCTATCCTACTTTGGATACACCATATTCGGTTAGAGTGGTGGTGTATAGCTGGCGTCTGCAGGGCCTGTGCTTCCAGACCCTGCAGCGTCCCCTTGTAGGACTCCATGGTGGGTGGCTGGCACCGCTGCCGAAAAGAACGAAGCTTTCTTGGCACTAAACACCATTTAACGAAGTGTCTTTGGAAATAAATGAGCAAAAGTACTATGAGTTCTTTCCTCTTTTCTCTCATAGGACAGATGGATAAATAGATGTGAAACTGTTGTATCCATTCATCCATCCTCTGAGGGGCATGCGCTGTAATACAATCTCGTTATTATATCTAGCATCTATAGTTACGACCCTATTGTTTTATTTCGACCAGGTTCCATGCGGCAGCCGGAAGCGCTTTTACGTGCCAAATGGAGCTGAGGGCAGTCAGTGGTGGTCGGTTGTCGCCTCTACTACTCCCACAGAAATATGGTGGCTGCTTTCGTTATTGGATTGTTTATGTGACAGACGACAGTGATCGTCTCCTGGAAACTTTGTTGCTCTGCTTTATCACATGAGAACTTCAGTCTTTGTCACTGTCCTAAAAATCGGCAACATAGTTTCACGTGACCATCGAACGTGCCTGTACCGCCCACCCTTGGAAAGACTTTCTGGTCGGGCTGCCCTCGCTTACTTTACACACGCTCAGGTGTGTATTAGTGGCAGCCGTGATGTATCTTTCGGTTGATGCTACTGTGGTATACTGGGTTCCTCTTGTCCCAGGGGGGCGTACTTCCGTTGAATATCTGCACTGTAATAAAGAGTTCCATGAGTTTCCGCCTGGGCTGCGGCTCCGCTTCTCTTCGTCGGGACCTTTGGTTCTCTTGCGTCGAGTCCGACGCGCGATAGAACAGCTGCATTAAAATTATAGATTTCGATAGAATAGATTGCCTTCTTGTACTCCACGAACTTCACGATTTAACAAAATAATTTGAACGCCCACTTCAGCCTCAACTTTATATCATTATTAATACCATAATGTGGCTTTCAGTACGTGACGAAGGCGTACTCTCCGGAAAACCAACAGTATTTCTCCCCTTGTGTTAGGTATGCGCAATCAATGACCCGTGCAGGATTGAGCCAAAGCATTCGCACCGTGTTCCGAGATGATGGCGCCTTCCGGTTCTTGCTGCATGGCCAGCTGTTCGTTCTGCCGGTTCAGCTCGATCCTGAGGCGAGAGAGGCGGCGTCTGAACATGCTCGGCTCAATGTTGTTGACGCCGGCCGCCCACGCGAGAACGCTCTCGGCGTAGCGCATCTCGGAGACGGCCACGAGCCAGCAGGGAGACTCCTCCATCAGGTACACCGCAACAATCATGCCGCACGAGGGAATCATGAAGGCAACCTGCGACACATGCGAGCAGCTTCAGGCCTAAATAACAGTGTTGAAATGAAGACAAATCAAGATTCCGGCCACGATAAAAGCAAATAAAAGCAAGATGTTTCGGTCAGAGTACGAGAGCCGGGTTCACAAGTGGGGATCATTGCGTGAGCAGTCTGGTTATTCATGTCATAAAATGCGACGTAAGCAACGCGTGCAGACTTGTGGAAGGTTTCCATAATTTCTTTCGGGTGTGTGCGCCGTTGTCTGGTTTGTGATAAATTCGATATGAACATACGTATTCCGAACAAACGTGACATAATTGTCTTCTTGTCTGTTCTTAACCAGATGGGTCAAATAACAACTATCGATTTCCAACAGTGTTGACTTGTTAGTATCGCAACGGTACTCTGCAAAAACTAATCTACCGATACCTCTTAAGCACTCAGTTATCCAATGAGTTACCGAATCACTCTTATTGGCCAACGATGAATTGGCGATAGATGAATGTATTGTAAGTCAAGTTCTAACGATATCAAGCAAAAGAAGTTGGCGTGTAGTGTGTCGGCGAGATAACCGCTGGTTATTGAGGGTTATTAGTCGAACGGCAGGTGGGGGTGGAGTGCACTTTCACAGAAACCTAGCGAAATCAATTTTTTCTTTATTCTGGTATCTTCCAGACAGTCTCCGATTCCTTATTGTTGCCGCCCCTTGGAGCATATAGTACCTGAGCTGCCTACGCTCTGTTCGTTACACTTCCTCTTGCTACAGAATGTACTCGTAAAAGCTGTCGTACTTCACAGGGAGTTGAGTTAAAGTGGCTAAAGCCCTCCGCAGCCACCTTAACATTGCTCCGTGCATACGATATGTGCAAACTTCGTTCTCGTTTGCGTAACGTACGTTGTTTAGCGCGCGCATAGGATCACAAAATTTTTATAACTGGATGATGTGAAACACATCCAGGGCATATTGGTATCCTGACAGGGACGCTATGGGTCTCGTGACCTTCTGTGAAAAGAAGGCACAGTCCTGCGAAATTCGGGTTGGTTGGTAACCATAGTTTACGGGTATAACGTGGCAGCTCCAAGAACTGGACCGGGGCTCACGAGAGGCCCATGTACCACCTTGCAGTGGGCGTCTAGTCAGGTTACGAAGATTAGGTAATTCAATCAAGCTGCACTGTTATAAAAAACAGTACTTGAACTGTTTTGTGAGCCCTGCCTAGCCGCGTATAAGACGCTCTTTTAAAGAGACGCGCTAAATAACTTTGAGCTCTCCTATGAGAAAGGTATCCTCTCGTCAGAGAGTCGTGCAACGTGATAGAGAGCTAAACGTACCACTTTAAAGAAACACAATAATAAAGAGAAGTAACAGAAGATTATGTCCAGGAAAGTATAGAAATGTTATTATCAGTAAATGTAATCTAAATGTGAAGAATAAAGAAAAATTCACGAAAATATAACTTGCCACAAGCAGGATCCGAAGCTGTGACCTTCGAATAACGCGCCCGACGCACCACTGCGCTATGGTGCCCCCCCTCAACCCCGCCCACATTATAAGGTACAGACACAGCAGCGTCAGCCAGCGTCGCCCGCTGCCGTTAGTCCTCTCCTACTTATATGTCAGGACTGAGCGAGAAGAGTGGGAAGCAACTTTGTTTAAGTGAAACGTTTCACATAGGAATGGTATTCAGCCCGTGGCTTGCCACCACCTCCTCATCGCGGTATGGTGCGGAGCTGCACTTGCAGGTTCGTATCGTGGAGTACACTTTCTCGCTCCTCAGATGAGGGAGTGGTCAGGAGATCATTCTTGCTGCAGTCCCATAGTATATGAAAGAGGGAGGCCAAGGATGCAGCACTGTGAGCAATGCGGACTGAGCAAATCGGGGTAAATGTGTGTGTACCTCCGCGAGCTCGGGGAAGGAGTGTGAGTATCAAATTCATTTTCAGAGTGCGCGATTCAGCCATGTGAGAGGTTGTGAGCCGAGCTATACCTGTGCCAGGTGCCAGTTTGGGATGCAGACGTAGATGAGCTCGCTATAGACGTCTGCGGCCAAAATGCCACTGGCGATGGCGACGGCGCAGTAAGAGGCGCGATAGCGCGCGCCAGTCAACTCGAACAGAAGCACGTGCGACGCCACGACCACACCGGCGGCCCCAGCCGAAAGTAGGAACCGGAGCGCGGCGAACACGGGTACGGTGAGGGCGAACACGAGCATGGTGCCGGCTAAGAAGAGCAGCACGAGCCACAAACACAGCACGGGCCGTCGACCGATGCGGTCTGCCGCGATGCCGGCCACCTGGGTGAGTTGGCATGGAAGCATTACGAGAAAAGTAAAACGATGGCAATGCGAGACGTAAGGGGTGTCTGCAACACTTTTTCAGCATGGTCAGACAACACGGTCTATCGGTGGTCGAGACTCCTGAAAGCATGCAGCCTGGAAATTACCGTTCATTCTAAGGTCAGCGAGAAACCACTTTTTTTAACACGAAGGTGTTTTATGCCGGTGTTCACCACGACTCCACTGACGTAGTTCCGTCACGGAAGTGACGTTGAAGAATATATACTAGCAGATTGGAAAGAAGAAACCTAGAAGCCAGCATTCGTCGCGCGTAATCGATTCAGCAACCGATTGATTTCAGCTCCCGGTGCTAAACACTATGGCACGGAGTGTACCTTGGCTGGAGTGCTAATGGCAAGTCATTTGTAAACACCATACACTATTTGGCAGTCCTCAAAGCTTCGAAATATTAGTGCGTTTTTGTTATCAATGACGAGATGGCGGGACAGGCTCGCGTTGGGCGCACTTTAAAAGCTGTCGCTTCCACGGTGCGGAGTCTCTGCAGCACGCACGCTTATGGGACACTTAATTCGGGAGATGACAAAGGTCACTTCACACGCTGCCGCGGCTGCGTATACGAAAAGAGCACGCTGCTGACACACGGCGCAGGAAGAATTGTGACAGTTGTTCATGCTTGTCCTGCGTATACTTGTGCGCACGTTTCCCGCCTCTTTCTGTTGAACAGAGCGCTTTTTCAAGTGTCAAGCTGTGACAAATATTAGTCTACGCTCGTTCTATGTGTGCTAACGTCGTGCGTGCATTCTACGTGAGCTGTCTGCTGCAAGTTTAGAGCTGCCCGCCGTTTTCAACGTGACTTTGCAATTTGTTGCGTTTGCTGAAACAATGCACAGTAAACGCTCAACTACCTTGGTAAAAACACATTTCACTTTCTTGTTATACCGATTCCTATTTAGGGGGATCCGCCACTTTTTTTGTACGAATGATGTCATACAGCCAAAAGTCCAAACCACATATATAAATTGACGGCCATTGGTTCATTGGAGCATCGTGGGCTACTAGTCACCAAGGCTGCCACCAGAAGCCACAACGTGCCCACCTTGGCGCTCGTAATCACAGGAAAGTAAGGTTCGCAAGAAAAAAACTGCAGCGCTCATGGTGGCTGGCGAGGTCCGACTTACAGTCCACACATGGGCGGAGCCACTGGGCCGGCCTCCGTATGGGGTGCCCAGTCCCCTTCAGGACCTTTAAAAAAGTTAATTCTCTCGCTCTCATGGTCATGTTGCGCGCGTTACGTCACGTCTTTACCCCGTGTCATACCTCCATGCTTAGCCTCCAAAACTATGGTCGGCACGAGAGAAGATAATTGTGATTCAATAAACTCTTTTACGGAGACCGTTCGATAAAAGTGTTGCAGGGCTGCTTTGGGGGTCTGAAAGTCCAACTAACGCTGGGTGTGTTGGAAAACTTGTGATTCATTCTGCTTAGTTTCTCGGTTGATGAATTGGTCGTTGTCACGGACTGCCATTTTTGCGACCCGGCGTCACGGCAATTAACGGGCGCCGAACTACCTCGCTGACCGTGGGAATGGCGGGCGCATGAAAGAGAGCCGGGAAGGGCAGAATGGGGGGTTCTTCTTCGAACGTCGCCGCCGACGTTTGATCCTTTGTACCTACGGCGGCGTCTGCAGGGTCGTGGAAGGCCGCGATGTACCCCGAACAAGGTTTAGGCTACGGAACGCACCGGCCGAGAGCCAAACAGTCTGACCGTTCCCACGGGAAAACTTCTGGGGGCCAAGCCGTATGACAGCACCCCCAACAGGTTGTTACTCTCGCTAGTTGAGGGCCCTCTCCTAATTAAAAAGGGGTGGGGTCAATATACTTTTCGGGGCGGAGTTTCCCACAATGAAACGCGCATGATTGGACCCATATAGAGGTCTCTTGTCTCCAAGTAAGAGAGCGAGGGGACACAAGGGGGATTTAAGCGCAGGATTTTGCCCTGCTAGGCAGACTAGTCACTGACCAACATGGTTTAAAAACAGATCAACAAGTATCTCTTCTAGAAGTTTTTAGTGTGGCTCTGTATAGGCTGGCCACATGAACTTAGCCGTTCATCTAGTTGTGACGCGATATTAACGCATGCAACGTAGACATCGTGACTTCGCCTCGAGTTAGCTCAACCTGCCCGAGGTCACCTCCAAGCACTAGCCTCCCGCAGCCACCAGCGTTGCAACACCGCCGACATCGCAGTCGTGCCAGAACTCTCTTCGACTTCTCGCATTCGATCGTCGGGGACGCAATGCTGCCGGTCATCACACGTATGTCTTCACCTGTTTATATCTTCCAACTTTTTCCTACGTAGTTCTATTGTTAGTTTGCGTAGTTTGTAATAGTTCTCTCTCGTAAGCTGATTTATTGTTTTATATGTATTTTTTTGTTGTATCAAGTGTTGATGTATTTTGTTAGTTGTATTGAAGTGTTGTACTAGATCCCGTGTGCTGCAATATTACTAGAGTAAAGTTTGTTTTGTTTTTTCTCGTCTCTGATCTCTTCACTGTCTCTGCTTGCGTACGGAACGAACTAGCCTGCTGTCATTTTCGTCGCTGACTTCACGCTGGCGACGCTAGAGTGGCAGCTTGTAAAAAACTGGCGTCCGTGACGAGGACGTTCCGTACAAAAGTAAGACAGTGAGGGTTGAACGAGAACCGTGCGGACAGCGTGTTGATAGAGCCGCACAGTTGAAGCGGTTGCATCCTGCATATGATTGCGCTGTTTTTATAGTTGCATTATAGTGACAGTTGGCAGTATGAAGTGTATGGATTTTGATAAGTGGATCGCGAACGGTAAACAGTTAGGCCACGAGGGCGCCGAAAGTTCGGCGCCATCGTGGACTAACTGAGACAATGGGTTAAGGAGCAGCAGGAACAGGCACTGGCGTTAGCCAGAGAAGAGCGGGCACTGGCCCGGGAGGAAAAGGAAAAAGGAAAGGGAGAGAAAGCGCGAAGAAAAGGAGAGAGAGTGCAAAGAAAAGGAGAGAGAAAGCGAAGAAAGAGAGAAAGAACCAGAAGTGGCAAGGGAAGCCGGAAAACGGGAAGTGGAGTTATTGCAATTAAAGATTCGCCTCGGTGAGAGTGGCAGTGTGAGCCGATCCAGCAGTGAGCACGGCGATGCCGGGAGGAGCCGAGTGTGAGAATACAAACAGGCAAGGCTGGTGCACACCGACGACTAGCAGCGGCCGCGCGACCATTTGCGACTGGTTGCAAACAGTCGCGAACGTTCGCAAACGGTCGCAAAGCGACTGCTTTGGCTAGTTACTTCCTGACCAATTTATCAGTCGCGCGACTGCAGTCGGAACTGCTGGAAACAATCAGGAATGCTCAATTTTTTTTCGTTTGTTTTTTACTGCGCTGGCTTCCTGCCACCAGATACAAACGAGTGCGTTCCTCTGTGTTCTTGGCATTATGGCCACCACGGAATATTTGGCTTGAAGATGGCGGGGCGCAGCAGCTCAAGCAAAGTGTCGAATTTACGTGGCGGTATTCGCAAGGAGGTAAACACCGTCAAAAGAAAAGAGAAAATAAATTGTGCACAACCTTTTCCCTGCATTCAGAACCGTTTTATTGACTTGAACTTGATTTGTCACTGCCTTCAATGCAGCGTGCTTGGAACGCGTTTGTGCTTCATGCCTTGGCAACGACTTAAGACACCGCGTTCGGACGCGTTTGTGCTGTATTGTAGGCGGCAGCAAGTCAATTTAAAATCATGGACTGTTTCTGAATACCTACTACTCTCGGAAATACTCCTCGTCGTCTCAGCGCAGCTCGGGAGGCAGGCGCCTTGCATGGCCAGCCAACTCCCGCGATCGAAAGGACGGTCACACCCACTATCGGCTTTTTGCTTTGGAGGCATCTGTGATGCCAGCGCTGACGCCTTGGCACAGCAATTTTATGACAATGTCTTGTTCTTCGCTTGAATCGCACTTGACCCTGTTGGAAACGCTGTGCGAGAACGGACGAAAACAGTAACTGCGACACGCCCGGTTTGCTTCACTCACTCAGCTGGCAGTGATCAGCTGATTGGTGCCGGTCTCTAGAGTTCTCGCTGATAACGAGATCCGGACGTGACTCTCCGCTTTTGCGACTTCCGGTCGCTCGCGTGCAGCCCCTGCCGGTGTGAACATAAGTCGCTTTTTGGTCACCAGTCGCAAATGGTCGCGCGACCGCTGCTAGTCGCCGGTGTGCACCAGCCTGTAGACTGCTCGTCACCTTTGACGAAAGAAGGGACGACTTAGATGCGTTTTTACACCGGTTTGAGAGCATCGCCAGAGGGCAAAAGTGGCCTGAAAGCCAATGGGCGACGGCGCTTTCGACATGTCTTACGGGAGAGGCACTAAGTGTTTATGGCAGGCTACCGCCAACAGATGCAGCGGACTACACCAAGATTAAAACCACCCTCCTGAAGCGCTTTCGCTTCACGGCGGATGGGTTCCGAGACAAGTTTAATAAGGAGAGGCCAGTAGGGGGTGAAACAGCAACACAGTATGCGGCTCGCTTAAGACATTACATCGATAGATGGGTTGAGCTGTCCAAAACAGAGACAGAATTCGAGTCCCTCCGCGCATTGTTGATTAGAGAGAGGTTTTTGCATGTATGTGGTTCGAACCTGGCATTATATTTGAAAAAAAAAAAGGAAGGCGGAATCCCTGGGAGACATGCTTGAGCTGACAGACCAGTTTCTGTAAGCTCAGGGTGGAGCAAGCCTAGCGAAAATAAAGAAAGATGGTCCCATAAAGGACGAGAAGGGGAAATACGAGAAAGGAGGCAACAGCCACGCACCACTACCACGGTGCTATATTTGCAATCGTGGGAATCACCCGCCGCACTTGTGTCGCAACAGACCGACCGCTAATGTACCCATCGTCTGCTTCAAGTGTGGGAAAAAAGGACACAGCGCAAATGACTGCCGGTCAGGAGCAAATAACTCACTCCAAGCGTCCTGCCTCTACGCACCGAAAGACACGCGTGAGGATCCCGTATGCGACGGGCATATCGAGCTTAGGAATGACGAAAAAGTCCCCGTCGTCAACGCCGTAAGGGTGACACCACCGAAAAATCTGGCCGAGAACCTACCAGTGGCCAAAGGGACCCTCCGAGGCACAGACATATCAGTGTTGCGGGATACGGGGTGCAACACAGTAATCGTGCGGAAGAAGTTGGTGAAGGAAGACGAGCTGACAGGTACAAGCAGACTCGTCTACTTGGTTGGTGAAACAGCGAGGATGCTGCCCGAAGCACGGATTGAGGTTGACACCCCCTACTTTACTGGCAATTTGACAGTACTTTGCCTGCAAGATCCACTGTATGACCTCATTCTGGGCAATATCGATGGCGTAAGACCTCCTAATGATCTCAGAAAGGAGACTGAAAAACCTGTATCGACAAAGGAATTAAGGGAAGAGCCTGTAGCAGCAGCTATAACCCGTTCCCAAGCAGATGCACAGCCGGAAAACTTTGCCAAGCTTCGTACGCCTGGGACCAGGGCGGGATTGCCGGGAGATAACAACGGCTGCGAGCAGAGGGGAGATGCGACACTCAAACAGTGTTTTGAGAAGATCGGCAGGAAGCAGACATGCCGAAATGAGAAAGGAAGCGTCGAGTATAAACAAGAACAGGGACTGCTGTACCGTCGATACACAGAGGCCAACTGAAGGCTTGTACGCCAATTAGTCGTTCCGCACTGCCACCGAGAAGCTGTGCTTAAAACAGCACACGATGGTATAATGGCAGGACACTTTGACACACAGAAAACCAAGGACCGGATCTCGGAGGAGTTTTTTTTTTTTGGCCAGGCATCACAGCTGACGTAAAAAGGTTCGTCGCCTCATGTGACGTTTGTCAGCGCACCCTACCACAGGGCCGTGTGCCACATGTTCCACTGGGGAGGGCACCCATAATCGACACCCCGTTCAAGCGAATGGCGATCGATATAGTGGGACCGATTCACCCGCCCTCAAAGCATGGGAACCAATACATTTTGACTTTGATGGATTATGCCACCCGGTATCCAGACGCAGTGGCGCTCCCGAGTATCGAAACTGAGCGAGTGGCCGAAGCCCTGGTCGAGATGTTCTCCCTATTTGGCGTCCCCCGCGAGGTACTGAGCGACCGTGGCACGAACTTCACATCGGACCTGATGAAGGAAGTAGCGCGGCTCCTTTCCGTGCGCCAGCTCCACACCACCCCATATCACCCCATGGCGAATGGCTTGGTGGAAAAATTCAACGGCACCTTAAAATTAATGTTGAAGCGCATGTGCGCCGAAAAACCGAGAGATTGGGACCGCTACCTGGCACCTCTCCTCTTTGCCTATAGAGAGGTTCTGCAGGCCAGTATGGCGTTTTCACCCTTCGAGCTTTTCTACGGCCGCCATGTGAGGGGACCCTTGGCGATACTGAAGGAGCTGTGGACGAACGCCGACTTGACCGAAGAAGCTAAGACGACGTACCAGCATGTCTTCGACCTTCGGAACCGTTTGGAGGAAACGTGCCGCCTGACACACGAGGAGTTGGATAAAGCCGGAACACGGTATACAATCAAAAGGCGAAGGAGCGGAGTTTCAACCCCGGAGACAAGGTACTGACTTTACTTCCCACCGACACGAACAAGGTACTGCTGCAATGGAAGGGTCCTTTTGAAGTCCGGGAAAAGAAAGGTGAAGCTGACTACATCGTAGACACGGCTGGCTGCAGAAAAATCTTCCACGCCAACTTACTGAAAAAATACGAGGAGAGGGACAGCAGCCTACGAGGAGGCTTTTCGAAGTCTCAAACAACATGTCTCTACGGAGCAAATACTATGGCTACCAAATTTGCACCAACCATTCGTACTTCGAACGGATGCATCGGACACAAGTCTCGGAGCCGTGCTCAAGCAGGCCCACGAAGGCAAGCTCCACCCCACTGCTTATGCCAGCCGAAAACTGCTTCCACGGGAGGCTTCCTATAGTACCATCGAACGCGAATGTCTCGCGTTGGTAGGGGGAATTCAGAAATTCTCCATATACTTATATGGAGTACATTTTTGTGTCCAGATAGACAACCAGCATCTGAGTTATATCTAAAAAGAAAATCAGCTGAACGCTCGAGTACTTCAATGGAGTTTACTACTCCAAGAGTACCAGTTCACGATTACGCGTATTAAGGGTAGCAAAAACGTGGGAGCCGACTACTTGAGCAAGATATAGTTCGTGAGGTCTGGGGAGCATGTTATTTTTTTATGCCGTTCGTCGTTTGTTTTCTGTTTGTATGTGCGTATTCCATTGTATAAGAAGTGTATTTTGAGTTATTTTCTTTTTGCTTGGTGCATTGGTTGTTTTTACATGTTGTATGCACATTGAAGGATTTCACTACAGTAGAGGAGCGCACCTGTTCCGTTTTGTTTCGTAGTATACATTCGTGCAATGTATTCTGTATTGATGGCGGCTATACCCAGCTATTTCTTTTTCTTGTTTGTATGGCGCATTGACATAGTTGCGTGTAACTGAATCTGGTACCCTAACAATTGTTTTTTCCCTTTTGTTGTTCCTTTGATGCACTCTGCCTATTTTTTTTTGTGTATGAGAGGGACAGTCTCATGTTTCCCTTGTTGGTGGTGTTTTATTCCTTGTTGTCGAAAAATTCCCCTCCGAGTGAGCGAACGTTATGAATAACATTCTGAAAGTGGGGGGCAATGTCACGGACGGCCAAATCGGCGACCCCGGGTCACGGCAATTAACGGGCGCCGTACTCCCCCACTTATCGTGGGAACGGCGGGCGCATGAAAGAGCCGAGAAGTGCAGAACGGGGTGCTCTTCTTCGAACGTCGCCGCCGACGTTTGATCCTTTGTATCTGCGGCGGTGTCTGCAGGGTCGTGGAAGGCCGCGATGTACCCCGAACAAGGATTAGACTACGGGACGCACCGGCTGAGAGCCAAACAGTCTGACCGTTCCCACGGGGAAAACCGTGGGAAACCCTCTGGTGGCCAAGCCATATGACAACACCCCAAGAGGTTGTCACTCTCGCTAGTTGAGGGCTCTCTCCTAATTAAAAGGGGGTGGGGTCAATATATTTTTGGGGCGGAGTTTCCCACAATGAAACGCGCATGATTGGACCCATGTAGAGGTCTCTTGTGCCCAAGGAAGAGAGCGAAGGGACACGAAGGGGATTTAGGCGCAGGATTTTGCCCTGCTAGGCAGGCTAGTCGCTGACCAACATGGTTTAGAAACAGATCAACAAGTATCTCTTCTATAAGATTTTAGTGTGGCTCTGTATAGGCTGGCCACATAATCTTAGCCGTTTTTCTAGAGTTGACACGATATAAAGCCTGCAACGTAGACATCGGGACCTCGCCTCGAGTTAGCTCAACCTGCCCGAGGTCACCTGCAAGCACTAGCCTCCCGGAGCCACCAGCGTTGCAACACCGCCGACATCGCAGTCGTGCCAGAAATCTCTTCGACTTCTCGCATCCGATCGTCGGGGACGCAACGCTGCCGGTCATCACACGTATGCCTTCACCTGTTTATATCTTTCAACTTTCTCCTCCGTAGTTTATTGTTGTTAGTTTGTGTAGTTTGTAATAGTTCTCTCTCGTAAGCTAATTTATTGTTTTTTATTTATTTTTGTTATAGCAGGTGTTTATGTATTTTGTTAGTTGTATTGAAGTGTTGTACTAGATCCCGTGTGCTGCAATATCACTAGAGTAAAGCTTGTTTTGTTTTCCCACGTCTCTGATCTCTTCACTGTTTCTGCTTGCGTACGGAACGAACTAACCTGCTGTCATTCCCGTCGCCGGCTTCGCGCTAGCGACGCTAGAGTGGCAGCTTGTAACAGTCGTAGAGTGTACACCCAACAGGAAAAGTTTGTGGGACGCCAAATTTTTGACAATGCTAAATTCCCACTTTCTCTGGGATCATAATATTCAAATAAATGTTCCACACTGCACCTGGAATTCCAACCTATACAGTCACCAGCTTCATTACGAACAATAAAGCAGAAATTCACATTTGTCGTGGATCCACAATCCCGCAAACGCTTGCTGTTGGGTGTACATACATGTCTTTCAATAATTGCCCCCCTTGGCTTTGTTGGCATATAATCCGTAGATGGACCGATACACAGAAAGAAATAGCCAGACAGTCGTTTGTCTACGAGCATTTTTACGTCCGTCTCTATTCGCAGCAGCTTAGCTTCAAACTTCGGTATATAAACAAGAACTCTAGCGAGTCGACTCGAATTTAGGGCCATTGTGAAGGCGACTCACCGGAGCGCCAGCGAACCCGCCAGCCGTATAGGCAGCCCTGAGTGCGGACACGATCCATTTACGACCGCACACCAGGTTCCACTCGACCACAATGGAGTGCGGATGTTTGAAGTCGAGTTTTCCGGAGTGCCCGTGGTAATCGGGACCGTCCGAGATGGGTCCCGTCTCAAAGTGCCAGCCAGCGTCGCAGGGTATCACGCTTCGGTTGTCCGCGGAGGCATCGTGGCCGGCCTCGTCCGACAAAAGGTCGAACGGAGGGTCGTACCGGTGGCACTGGCTGCGACGTACCACGGAGCCGTCTCGGTGTTCTGGGATGCCGACTTTCTTCCAGGTAGCCTCGGATACAAAGGCGTACTCTTCTGGTGGGCTGCAGCAATAGCTCAATGTAAAGGGCCTTGCACGTGAGCCTTGTGCAGAGCACAAATTTGTTTTGCACAAAGAGGCATATTCAAGTGGTTTAGATGTACTGTACATACATTCCCTTTACGGAAGTACGGGTGTGTAGCTTAGTGGCTTATTCAGACGGGTTCTCTCTGGTGGACTTGGTCTGTGTCATTTGTGCCTTCGTCAGTCAGTTAACCGGTTTATTTTTTTCCCGAAATAATCGAGACCCATTAACACGTGCTGTTATACAGCTTAGGCTTGGAAGGCGGTTGCCAGAATTTGTGGTAGCACCTGGTCACATGAAAGCACGCATTGGAGGTTCTCTAAATGAAGTTGTTGATTCATGTCTCTTTCAAAAAACGCGCTTTTCAGTGGGATACCTCAGCACGGTTTCGCGCAAAAAGTTATACAAAAAATCTAGTAGAAACAGCTCTTCCTGTTCCCTTATGTGGAACATCATACCGGGTAGGCCCAGGCCAGATTGTCTTAAGCCGTGTAAAAAAATGGAGGTGTCACCTGGAGCGAAATCCTTTTTCTTTAAATTGCACACTGGGACCTTGCCCATGAAAGCATGGATGCAAGAAAAAGGCTTATTCGTTCCTTGAAATGTTGATTGCCTTCTCTGCAAAATGCCGGAAACAATCGAACGTGTTTTTTGAGACTGCTGGGGTGCTGTCTTTTTCTGAGATGTTCTCCAAAGGACTTTAAAAAGGATCTGCTTCTTGATGGCGTACCAGTATCAAGTGAAGAAGAAATACCTTTCGACCCAGTTACTTTACTGGGCCTGCACGGTATATGGCAATCTAGAATGGAGGTGCGCATTGCTGATGTTAATGCACGTCCGGTTCGGTAATGCTACTTTCAATCTGTCTCTTCATTCGTGGAATCACCAAAGGTTCTACAAAAGGTGCCCGAATGGCTTCATCAATTAGAAAGCCTTCTACAGATGAAGGAATTTTAAGAAGACTGTTATGTTTGACGCTTTTTACCTCTTTTTTGTTCATGTTTTTGCTATGTACACAAGCAATAAAGAAAGAAAAAATGGTGTGTAGTTTAGTGGTAAAAATACTCGCTTTCAGAGCATGAGGGTACAATTTCAAACCCACCATGGAAAAGAAAAAAATGTTATTTATTTATGCTCAAGAGATTATCGGGTCTGACAAGCCACTCTGGAGCTGAAAGCAGCGCAGTAGCTTGGCCGCAGGGCTCTACGGAAGTGCCCGTTCTTTATGTATATTTCTCTATGGCTTAGTAGGATAGTTCTCTGCCATGGGAGTTATTCTTCTGCAGATAATTTATTATTTAGTGATTTATGCTCAATGCCAACATTATCATATATCAACGGGGGTAACCATCTGATCCAGAAGAGTAGATCTTTTCCGCAGACGTCTTGCGCAGATGGATATCTTTCAGTGTCGTCTTAAATGCCACATTCGCGCGACACAGTGCAATGCGATATATCGTATTAGATTGTAATTTGCTGGAAAAAGCGTCATTAGTGTGCGCAAGAAGCTCTCCCTGGCTCCCTATAGTCCTTGTCAACAGCGCAGCACTTGAAACACAGGACAGGGAAAGAGCAAATGAGAAAAAGAAAGGACGGCGTTGACGCAAAGAAAAGAGCACTGAGTACTATAAATATATTGCAGTAAGAAATATGTTGCAGTAACACTGGGGAGCTGGTTTTCTAAAAGAGAACCAGCTTTACAGTCGATGCAAAATGGAAAATGAAGGGATCACGTGCCTCTCACGAAGGCTTGCCCTTGGTCCTCGGCTTTCAGGTGGCGTGTAAAGAGATAGTGTAATGCTACATCAGCGATTCTTGGTAATCGTTATCATCGAAAAACGTGCGTGGCCATAACTCTGCGCCTTAATAAGTTACGTGAAAGATATGGTAGGTCAGAATTACCGTCCTCTTTGAGGGGGTGGTCATTATTATCAATAAGAGGGCGCGCGCCCCACCACGGTACTGCTCCTCTACACAACCTCCCTCCAGCTATAGTGTGCTCTCCTATGAAAATCTTGATGTACCGGCACCAGTGGTCCGCGGATCTCGCTAACGTCGTCGAGGCCATAGCGTGCACGATGGTCGTGAAGAATGCCAGCGTGGTGCAGACCAGGACAATCTTCTGGAACCGGCCATGGCCAATGATCAGAACGTGGTCCAGCGGTGACGAGGGCTCGATGGTGGTGCTGACCGCGTGCGCGGTCACCGTAGCCGTGCCGGCGGTCGACGTCGTCTGACCCGCCTCCTGCATGACTCCGACCGACAGCGCTGACAACGGAGTGGAGGCCGGCAGGACCGATGCAGATCGCGTCTCATCTTCGCCGACGGATGTCCTGAGCTCCTCCTGCTGATCCTCTGGCGGGTACTGCGGGAACGACGTCGACGTGGACTCCGACGGCCGTCGGGCGAAGGGGACGACGACGGCCAGGTGTTGTTCTTCACTGCTCGACGTCTCGGACGCCTCGTCACGCAGCTCACTCGGTGACAGCGGAGACAGTGGCGACGGCTGCGCCATGTCTGAAGGCTTACGGCGCCCATCTTCGGCGTTGGCCATGTTGAGACGACAGGGCGGCCTTGTTTGGCTGGGTGCTGGAGGCCGAAGGGGGACGACTGAGCGGATTTTTTTTTTCGGTGGAGCGATGCGCAGCCACGTCCAAGCGGTGAAATCAAAGAGCTTCTTCTGGGCTCGCGCGCGGCGCCTGCCGACGTTAATGATGATGATTTTACTGTGTTGGGGGCTGGCTGTTCCCGACGAAGGAGAAGAATAAGACGGCCGACGGCGACGTACGTGGCCGGCGGGGACACCGACCAGCCCGAACACGTGGGTTGGCGAAGAGAAGCGCCGAAGAGAAGAACATCAGCCGCACTCCACGGTTACCCAACGCACACTGGTTTTATTTTACAGTCGCCTTGAAATTCTGGATGCCAGAGCGGCGCCCCCTGGCATCCTCACATGTCATTCCGAAACAGAAACCGACAACCCAAAACACAACAATCATCCCCTCCTCGAAAGAAGTTCACCTATACGATGTTTATAATTATACATAATCGATACCAACGTATTATACAAGGTATGTACGTTAGAACACATGAAAATTCAGAGCACGGCACACCGAACTCACACACTATGAGTCCTGAAAATGCACAGAAAAAAAGTGTACACAACTCAGTACAATATTTGTTTGGATGCATTGGACCTTTTCACAGAACAATAATGTTCACGAACAGTAATGAACAAGAGTTCTACATCACGTAGTCTTCGAACCGACGTGGCTTCTGCCGCTTCCGCTTAGGGCAGGCTCTTTTGGGTGTAGAATCAGGTGTCTCTGCACCTTGGTCACTTGTGCTCTGATGTGACACATCAAGAGCAGTTTGAAGATTGTGAAGGCTCTGAACGAGCGTTAAAATTCGCGGTCTCATCAGAGCTCGCAGCATGAGCTTCGGAAGAATTTTGTGGGCCGGAGTCCGGTTCAACAGTCTCAGCCGTATTTGAAGGTTCGAAGTGAACCGTAAGACTTGGTGTACTTGAACCAACGACACCGACTGGTAACTCCTCCCCCCTTGAAGAAGAAATGCCTCTACATGGAGGCCACATGTAACAGTCTGATGCATAGTTGAAAGGCGTGGACGAAACATGATGGGGAAGACTTTTAGGTGTTGAAGGCGCATCCGTATGAAAAATAACAAGGCGCGAAGCATTCCAGATGTTACCGTCACTTAAGTGAAAAGAAGTGGGGCTAACCTGGCCCAAGACTTTGTAAGGACCCCGATACTTGGGGCACTTGCCTGGCGCACGAACCTTGACTAGATCGCCAGTGCGAACTTTGGACTCCTTTGCACCTCGATGGGTGTCGACATAGTTTTTCATTGCTTGTTGATGAGAAAAACCCTGGTATGGATTTGATCAGCAGAAGACACTGCTATGTTACGAGGCAAAGAGACTATGTTGAGAGCAACTCGCGGTTGCCTACCGTGGAGAAGGTGAGCAGGAGACACTCCAGTGGTGCCTTGTGGTGTGAACCTGTACGAAGCTAAACATTCAGTCAAGACTTGCTTGAGGGGACGGTGCTCTAATTGGGCGATCTGGATATGTTCCTTCAGAACGCGATTAAAGCGCTCGATTTGCCCATTTGATTAGGGATAGAAAACTGATGACCTCAAGTGCTGAATTCCTCGTTGTGAAAGAAAAGCCTCGAAATGTTGGGACTGAAACTGTGGACCATTGCCCGTAACTATGGCATCAGGAAAACCTTCCTGGCTGAAGATTGAAGACACAAACTCAATGATGACCTCAGATGTAACCGTATGTGTGAAACAAAGCTCTTGCAAATAGGAATGGTAGTCGATGAGAGAAACAATGAACAGGGCATTTCGCGGAACATTATGCAAAGGACCGAGGATGTCCATGCCGAGTTTCTGCCAAGGCCGATCAGGCCACTGAACTGGCTGCAAGGGAGAAAATGCAGGTTTGGCAGACTTGTCAGCTGCCTGAGATATATGGCAGTTGTAAACTGCATGCTCCACCTGCTTGTCTAAGGCTGGCCACCAATACCTGTCTCGGAGATTCTGTTTGGTGTGGACAATGCCTGGATGGGCCTCATGGGCAAGCTGTATTAGCTTGTTACGGAAAGAAGCAGGGGGAATCACGCGTTCATTGCGGAAAAGCAAGTCCTCGACACAAGACAGTTCCTGTCGGACTGCGAAGTAAGGCAAGAATTCAGAAGCAAGAGCACAATTGAAAGGCCATCCTTCACGTAAATATTTGAGAACTTGAGACAAAGTGGAATCTGCAGGTGTAGCTGCCAGAAGCTCAGCTTTAGTAATGCAGGAAGTAACTAATGAAACAACTTCCTCATCCCGATTTCCAGTAACCGGTATTTGAAGAGGAAGGCGCGACAGTGCATCAGCAATCACGTTATTAGAATCTTTGCAATATTGAACACTGAAATTATAATACAGGAGTTTGGCACACCAATGGGAAATGTGAATGGGGCGGCGGCCTTCGGATCCTGCAGAAAGACGAGCAACTAGTGCCTGGTGACCTGTACCTAATGTTAAGTGCCGGCCCCACAAGTAAACATGCCATTTCTCACAGGCAAAAAGACACGCGAAAGCTTCACGCTCTCCTACTGAATATCTGCGTTCAGCAGGGGTCAATGTACGAGATGCAAAAGCTATAGTGATCAGCTGATCACCTCTGAGTTGTTGAAACACTGCTCCCAGTCCAACATCGGACGCATCCGCCGTGATGACGATGGGAATCTTCTCATTGAAAATACTAACAGCTGGCTTTGAGGCCAGTATTGACCTTAACTCGAATGAAGCTCTGCTCAGCTTCAGCTGACCAGTTAAAAGGCTGTGCTTGACGAAGTAGAGTACGCAGTGGTTCAACAACATCAGCATAGTGAGGAACAAACTTGGCATAATAACCAACAAGACCTTCATCTTCGTCTCGCGCGGCGGCCAACATGGACGCCCGCCTGCACAGTCCTTCCGTGGCGGTCAACATGGCCGCCTCTCTGCGTCGCGGGGGCGAGGAAGCCGGCAATATGGCGACCCCATTCCGCCAAATTCTGGTTTTGAGGAACAGCACCGAGCTCCTAACTTGCGTTCGCAATTTTCTTTTCCAAGCGCAACCGCGCATTGCTTTCGTTGCGGATCGGCTCGGCACTTAGCCAATTTTGCGCAGTGTCCTGCGAGAAACCGCACTTGTCTTGCGTGCGGAAAAATCGGACATTTTCTGTCCGTATGCAAATCTTATCCTCGTTGCCATTGCTGTGTTGGGGGCTGGCTGGTCCCGACGAAGCAGAAGAAGAAGACGGCCGACGGAGACGTACGCGGCCGGCGGGGACACCGACCAGCCCGAACACACGGGTTGGTGCGAAGCGGCCGAAGAGAAGAACAACAACCGCACTTCACGGTTACCCAACGCCACTGGTTTTATTTTACAGTCGCCTTGAAATCCTGGATGCCAGAGCGGCGCCCCCTGGCATCCCACATGTCATTCCGAAACCGAAAACCCAGAACACAACAGATTTGTTTTATAAAAAAGGCAGCGCTCTCCCTGGAAGATATGTTCGAGAAACTGGTAGTAGTTACGACAGGAAAACATTGAAAGTGATTCCAGGCATTTTTTGCTGGAAACCAGTGGCACCTGCTCGACCTGCCAGGTACTGGCCGACACCTACCACGTCGTCACTTCGTGCCCCTACAACCCACCTCCCTTTTCATCCCTTTTCCCCATCCCTACTACTAGAGAGGCTTGGGAGGACTACCTAGTCGGCTGCTTCACCTTGGATGCTCAACGATCCTTGGTGAGGTGCGCTCGGGCAGCGGCCAACTCCATTGGCGTCCCGTAATAGGGTCTTGCCATTCAAGCATGCAATATGCAGCAACTCTGGTACATTCCCTGCATTAAAATGTTTTCTACCACCACTACCGCGCAAAACAGAAGTGATAAAAATGCTTGTCGCAACCACGCACGCGATGATTATCAACATATTACCCTAACGCTGGTGAATTGAAGACATGTTGAATGTACTGAGGGTATTCATTGATTCGTGACGGCAAGCCTTGCGAACAGAGGTAATGACATGCTACTAATAGGAAGTCAGTAATTATTTCAATTTTCTTAGACTGATTTTTTGTGCCCTTGTCTCTACCTGAAGTGTGAAACAAACTCACCCAGCTGTAAGTTTTACTCAGCAACATTTCACGCGGTAGGCATTCCACGCTGAATGACCAGGCGGCGCTGACAATAGCTGATTGCTTTATTTTTATCTCTCACCAAGGAGAGCTCACGTTTCATGCACAACCGGAACTCGCGCACCTGCATGCACTAAACACGCGGAATGAGGGACGCATATTAAGTCGAGTCGGCATTTCCGTGTCGTCATTGTGAGTGCACCGTACAAACTAACACTACACTTTTAAACCCAAGTATTTTCATAAAAAGTAAGCGAAGACTTTTTGCAGAATATTTGCAGATACACGTTATAAGCCAAGTGTAGTACAGAACTTAAGGTTAAATTGGAGTAAAATAAATATAAACACATAATCTAGTATTTTACAAAGAAATATTTAAAGATTTCAGGTTTATTTTGCCTTGTGGTATAAAGCAGTACCTTAGCAACAGAGGGGGGATTTAAAGGTGCCTGGGCCATCCTTAAAATCGGCGCTTCCTCAAGTGCTTCTCTCAAATAGTCAACCCCTTCAGCCAGTGAGACCAAGAAAAAAAAATAACGCGAATTGAAAACTTGAACGTGATATACATAACTGCCAAGCAATTCACACGTGTGATCTGCGAAAAAAAAAATCACTGCACACCCTCGGAGGGAATTAAGACGAGTGGGGCGAAGCATCTGTCCATCCGTCCGTGCGTGCGTCCATCGTCCACGTACGCGTCCGTCTGTCTGTCCGTCTGTCTGTCTGTCTGTACATTTCTCTGTTTATCCACTCTTAACGGCACCGAGTACTTGAAACGGCCGACCCCATCCACTGCGCCCACCAATGTTGCAATGCATTCCTCAATAATGAACAAAATATCCCTGTGAC